TTGGGACATATTATCAGGAGGAACTAATTCCTGGAGAAGGACTTCATACTTAGTTAAGTAGGGGAACAGTGGAAAAAGGACTAGCATAATGGTTGTAGTGATTGTGAAGATGGTGCAGGGCTACATAGTGTTTCATTCTGCTGTAGATTTGCTCTCTGAGTCAGAGCCTCCTTGACAGCACAAAACAGGAACCTCTCAGTTGCACATGAGGGCATGCAACCCCTACACTAGAATCATTTGATTTCACACATAGGCAATATAAGTACAGCACAGGCCAAATCTTTAACCAGCCAAACCTCTTCAAGACATACCCACAAAAGAGAAGACTTTCTTGACCTCCTAGCTTAGACATTGTCTCTGCTACTGTCTCTGGGCTTCAACTCAGGTAGACTATTTATTTGCCCATTAAACCTTCTTGATCTGAATTTTTAAATTCATTTATTTACCTAAAGGCATATTTATCTTTTATCTAACAATAGTTCATACTCGTGTTTCCTGGTTACCTTACAGCCATCCACACACCTCTGTTTCACATTGATAGGAAAGACTTTATCCTAGAATGGGACAGAGCAGGGTCATAGGACCAGTTTTGTATCACATCACCTTTATGAACAAGTCTCAATGGTGACTCTAGAACTTACGTTCTCTCTCTTTTCTCCCCAGGGAGGTAAATGTTTCCAGGAAAGGTAAGAAGAGGGGTTTGTTTTGTTTTGGTAAAAGGCAGCAGGGTGTCAGGAAGCATGTATACCCATGAAGAGGGATGTAGAGTTATGAAAAGATGTGCTAAAAGTTTCCCCCATATTCCTCACTATTCTCAAAGACCCAATTCTCTATAAAATACTGCCTAGAATTCTGGAATATCTAAACCTACTGTGAATTTTTTAAATAGGATTTAACCAGTTACATGCTTTGGAAAAGAGCCATGATTAAGATGTACAAGTTGACTGAGACTCCTTGAAGTGTCTTAAAGAAATTCAGCCTTCTTTATCTCTGAGAATCTATCCCTCTGCGTGCCTCTGCCCCTGTTTATCTTCTCTTTTCTGATTGAACAGCGAGTAAGCAACAGGGGCTCTGGATTTCAGGTCCATAACCCTGATTTCAAGGTCTGCTCAGCCATTAAATTCTCAAGCAGGCCACTTCCTCACACTGCAGCCTCATTCAAAGATCAAGAAGTTGGCCAGAAAAGCACACAAATAGCTAATTTTGTTGTGCACTCCTCGTGTTCCAGACCCAAGGGTGATACAAAGAGTTTGTACTAATTTACTAACTGAAAGGTTAGTAGAACTGCCCAATGGCATCATAGAGCATTCTGGGGGCCGTGTCCCTAGGAAATTGTGCTGCCAGCCCAAAGGCCATGCCTTTCTGCTGTCTGAACCCATCAGTGGCTCACAGGGAGAAAGACGATCTCCTCCTGTACAGTTTCTGGTCTCAGAAATCCACTGGAGCTGTGAATCAGTTCTGACACAATAGCAGTGAATTGCTGTTGTTTTTTTTTTAAACAACATCATGGAAGAAGGTAAAAAAAAAAGACAAGAAATTCAACCTGTATCAGATGGTCTTGTATGTAAATATAGTAGACCGTACTTATACCATAGCAGCACTGCAGAGGGTCATGTAATCAGGAATTCCTGGTGCTAAAGGAATCGCCTACCCTCAAGTCCTGAATCAAAAAGGTGATTATTATAAATTGGAGTTTACTTACATTATCAAAGTAATCCATAAGAGACTTTCTGGCACTGGGACTCTGGAAGGATGTTGTATGAAACAGGTGTCTCAAACTCTTTTTCCCTCAGGAGTAAGACCTGGGAACTGAAGAAGCTGGTCATTGTCTACCAATACCTAGTGACTGAGTATTCTGTGCCAGAACTGAGGACATTTGGAGGTGAGGTGAACTCTAGGAACTGTGGGACTGGTCTGCCTGGGGAACAGAAAGATACAATCAGGATGAAGAACTGATGCCCAGGGTTGGAGGAAATCGCAGCATCAGAGATGGCAAGTTCAAGTAGGTAGGGCAGGGAGAGGTAGAAAAGCTGGTGGATGGAAAGGTCATGGCAAGGACCAGAGTTAGCTGGGTTTTATTTCCCCACATGCCAAGGCTCAGAGTTACTCCACAGACCACTGATAACCACCACCTCCTGTCATCCAAGACTTCCCAAGTGTAACTATGGTTCCTCTTTTCTGCAGAAGACATCACGTTGGATCCAGAAACAGCCAATCCCTGGCTCATCCTTTCTGAGGATCCGAGAGAAGTGAAGCTTGGAGATGAATACCAAGAGTCCCTTGACAATGATGAGAGATTTGATTGTTTTCCCATGGTCCTTGGTGCCCAGAGCTTCAGCTCTGGAAAGCATCACTGGAAAGTCGACGTGACCGGAAAGAAAGCCTGGGACCTAGGGGTTTGTAGAGACTCTGTGCAAAGGAAGGGACCATTTTTGCTCAACCCTGAGAATGGCTTCTGGACAATTTGGCTGTGGGACAAACAAAAATATGAGGCTGGGACCTCCCCAACGACCTCACTTGACCTTGAGGTACCTCCAAGCCAAGTAGGAATATTCTTGGACTGTGATTCTGGCACAGTCTCCTTCTACAACATCACTAATGGTGGCTCCCTTATCTACGCTTTCTCTGAATGTGCCTTTGGTGGTGAGCCCCTGTGGCCCTTCTTTAACCCTGGTGTCAATGATGACGGAGAAAACACTGATCCTCTGAAACTCTGTCCACTAAGTTAAGAATAGTAGAGGCCTAGTAATGACTGGTGTCCTTCTGTGGACACTGTCACCTGCTCCCCATCAGGTCCCTCTTAGTCACTTGCCCTGCTTCTTTTTCCATTAACTCTGAGCCCCAGCATTCCTTACCTAGATTGCTTATGATTCCTTCCCAGAAATCAGACTACTTCTGTTGGTCCCAACCATCAACAGAAAAATATATGCTGTCTTCTCTATGTGATTAAAGATGTGTTGGGTTGTTTTTGGGGGTTTTTTCCTCTCTCTCTGCCCCTACAGCCATTGCTTTTGGTCAGATTTCTATTCTCTCTTGCTTGGATGAGAGAAGGGCTTTCCGACAAAATTGCGCCTCAGTCTATACATCCAGAACTTTCTCCTCATTTACATCTTGGGTGACATTCCACATCTGATTATAAATGACTCCACATTGCCTGTTTTAATTAAAAAGCCATGTTCCAAAATGAGGGCTAATTTAGCAAGGCCTTGGAGTGCTATGGTAAATATTCAGCCTATTGTATATACTTTACTACATGTTCACCACAAATATTGCACATTAAATAATTACCACCTTGAAATTGTGAAAATTCATTTGTCCTTTTAAAATATCTTTTTATTGTGATTTTTAAAAAGTTTACATAAAAGTTATATATTTATTCATTTTTACACACTTTCCTCACTACTCTCTGAGTTCACTTTTATTTAAAAAAAAAAAACTGTTCACTGCTCCATGAATTCCTCCTTCCTCCCCACCCCTCTCATAGAGCACTTTGCTATGCACCTCTTATTCTGGACTGTTGTCATACAAGTAATGTCTAATCATATATGCCTTTTAAACGGTTCTTTTCTACATCTATTGTAACGCAGTATTCTTTATTTATCCCCTCTTTTCTTGTTTCCCCCATCCCCATATCAGTTCTTTTTTTCCTTTTTTTAATTGGTTTGCTTACAAAGTTTATATACATTGTGTTTCACACTATCCATTCACATTTTGTTTCATGCAACCATTCTCATGCATTATTTTTTCTAAGTTAATCACCATGGACCTTGCCCATCACGTGTTTTTGACATCCTACAACTTTTCTAGACAGATTTCATTAAGTGGGCTCATGACCCAGGAGACTTGCTGTCTATTTTGTGAACAAAATTTCAAAGAATCCATTGGCTTAGGCATAATGTTTGCCTGCAGTCTACCAAGAACCATAGTGTGTAATGCTATAGCTAGTACTAATTATGTAAAATTTTGAAAAATGACTGCAGGCAAGGAAAACTTTAGGAATAAGTTCTCTTCATAGCCACGAGAATTAAGGAAATCCCCATGGGTGAACAGTTCAAGGCTAATGGGAATATTCTTGCATCAGGCAAGATGAGTCTCTCATCCTCTTAAACATCTTTCAGGAAAACCTCCTCCTCAAGTGTATGTGCTCCCTGCAAAACATAGCAGGCCAAAACTTTGAAGAATCTTGAATTTTCATCCCTGTACAATTCCAGTTGCACAGACGTTGAGAACCCTGAATTGTGTCCAACACTTTCTTCTGCTGCTTGCTGACTCTTAGAATCCTTTTGCACTCATTTTACACCTTGGTTTAAGTTTGCACAATGCTTTTGGTTGCAATATCATATATTACTATTTTAATAGTACTAGTTCTAGTGCCAGGCCCACTGTCTCTCCATCTGTTGGATACAGAAAAGTCCTTTATCCTTCAGCAACTATGACCCTGAGTTCCTTAGCGATATCCATGTGTCTTGATCTTCTACATGGTGAGCAACTCCTTGAGCAAAGGCTCAGGTCTCAAGGATGTATTCCACTTCTGGTGTTTCTTCCACGTTGGTAGCAATGTGCCCTGCTCGTGGGTAATTTTCTTCCTCTTTTAACTTTAGTGATATAAATAGCATGTCAGGTCACACCTCAGGGAAACTCTCCCTGTACATCAGATTATGGCTATAAAATATTTGAGAATTCCATTCCACACTTTATTCTTTTATGCCTTAAATAGATTGTTTTTGTTGTGTTTGTTTTTTTTTTTATGTTGTAATTGAAATACTCATGGTAGGTAGTTTCCTCATTATTTATTTTGGTTTAGTTTCGTTTTCATGCACCTTTTTTTCTGGTATCCTTACTATATGCAAGCCCAGCAGTGTTTGTTAAGATGGCAGTGTTTTGCTCAGTTGTAAGCACGGTTGTACAGAGTGGAAACCAACTTGATGGCACCTAGCAACAAGCATGGACATGAGTAGTGTTGTTGTCATTTTACAGTTGAAGGAAGACTTGCCAATGAAATGAATTAACTTTCTGAAGGACAAAGAGTATAATTTCTCTCTTTTTTTTTTAGTGGTTGTTACATATCATTCTGGGTTTTCATTTGATCATTCATACATATTTCATTTGAACATACATATTTTGTGTCATAACACTGATTACAATTGATTAATGTAATGAAGTCTAGAGTCAATATCAAGTAGTACTATTTATTAGCGTGCCAGGTTCCTGTTGTCGTATACTGTTGAGTCAGAACCAATTCATAGCTGACCCTTGAATGAGATTTCCGAAGTTGTTACTCACACAACTTTGACAGCACATCTTTCTCCTGCAGTTGAGCTGGTGGATTTGAACTACATATCTTTGGGTTCAATTCCTTCACACTAGGCCAGAAGATTGTGCCAAGATTCAAATTCAATTATGGTCCAGAAGTTCATGTTTTTTCTTAAACATCAAATGACAAGGTTTCACAGATATCTGGTTGTTTATTTTATTGTCTTCAAAGTTAGTACAAATAATTTTGTTCAAAGTCAGTCGAACTCTTAAAAATCTCCTAAAAGTAAGCAAAGAAGAGTAAATCCCTACAATGGTAAATGAACCAACACCAGTCAGCTATGCCACCCAGTTAGTAATACAAACTCAGCATTGTGTCTTTTGAAAAGACAAAATCTTGACCACAAAATCTATAATCAGCCTAGCCTTGACCTCATACGTTATGTGGTTCAGTATAGAATCGGTCAACATACAAATATTGACAACCAAAATGTGTCTATGTGTTAAAAGGCACAGGGCACCAATGTCACAGGGTAACTGTGCTACATATGCCAGGAAAAGACAACATGGAGTTTCTCAGAATGGCAGCCAGCTCTGTCCAGAGGCTGTTTCTAAACTCCTTGGAAAAGGAAGGGGAGGATGAGGATATAGAAAACTGATGAGCAAGGCAATAAAAGCCACCATACAGGAGCAGAGACAAGTCATACCAGACATGAACACAAATAGCACAGGCAAACCTGGCAGCAGCCCTGTGCTCATATCAGCGGCACGCCGCTGGGCCACACAGGCAGCTGCTTCACCAGGAGAGCACCTGGGAGTAAAGAAAAGAAGCTCTCAGGACCACAGACAAATAAACTCTCAGGATTACAATATGGCTGAGCACTGTGGAAAGAGCCCTAGGGACAAAATGGTTAGAGAATGTACCTTCTACAAAAAAGGTTAAAAAATGGGTTAAATTCACCAACTGCTTTGATGGAGAAAGAGAAAGCAACCTGCTTCCATAAAGATGGCTTGGATATGGTGGCTTAGTGGTAAGAAGGTGTGCTGCCAACACAATGGTACACAGTACACATCCAGGAGTTGCTCTGCAGGAGAAAGATGGGCAATATCTTCCCATGTGATTTAGTGTCTTTGAAAATGCACTGGAGGGTCAGCTATGAGTTGGTCCCAACACTACAGTACGTAACAACAATTCAGTTCTGCAAGTTAACTATGAGTCAGAATCAAGTCAATGACTGTATGTAGAAGTAAGTGCTGGGTGAGCACTGATGACCAGATAATGGTCCAATGCCATTGTCAACAAAATCCCTGATGATGCAAAGAAAGCAATATGATTGAAAATTTAGAAGACACAACTATCAAGAGGCATCTCTCCAACATGGAAACAGAATAGAAACGAAGTATCGGGCACAGTGGGAGTGTATTGGATGGTCAGCCAAAGCCAGCATGCAGAGGGAAAAATACAGAGGTTTATGGATCGAACATCATCATGTTCAATGACGACAATGGAGATAAACCAGCACAAAATAGGAGATAAGGAGAGGGACATCCAAGTCTGCTGGCTAGGGATAGCCAAGAGAATAAATATCTCGCGATGTTTCCTGTTGCAGTAAACAGGAGACCATACTGACTTCTCCTCAACTGTATTTATTCATACTGTAATTTGAAGCACTTACAGTGAGAAATGAAATCACTTGGGTTTTTTCCTTCCTATGGAGGAATCTAACTAATAGATAATGATTTAATAAAAGCTACCAATTGGCAGCATCAGGATGGATGGTGAAGAGATTGAGATTGTTCACAGTTTAAGTTTGCTTGGCTCCACAGTCAACACTCTTGGCACCAATAGCCAGGAAATTAAAAGGTGCATTGCCCTGGGAAAGTCTGCTGTTAGGGACCTCTCCAAAGTACTGAAGAGCAATGGTATCTCTCTGGAGACTAAGGTGTGTCTGATACAGGCCATAGTCTTTGCAATCACTTGTTATGCATTAGAGAGTTGAACAATGACCAAGGAGGATAGGAGAATTGATGCCTTTGAGCCGTAGTGCTGGAGAAGAGTATTGGGAGTACTATGGACTGCTAGGAAAACCAACAGATTCATCCTGGAAAGGGTTAAACTGGGCGACTCCCTGGAGGCAAGGATTCTGAGGCTCGATCTAACACATTTGGGGCATGTTGTTAAGGAGGGACCGGTCCTTGGAGAGGGACATCATGCTTGGGACGGTGGAGGGACAGCGCAGGAGGGGAAGACCGTCTATGAGGTGGATTGATTCAGTGACTGGGATAATCGGGATGGGAGTGTCAGAGACAGTGTGATTGGCACAGGACAGAGCGGAGTTTAGGGCTGTTGTACATAGGGTCGCTATGAGTTGCAAACGACTCGACGGCACATAACAGCAATAACAACATCCATTAAGAACTTGGAGTTGCTGAGTGGTACAGATAGTTAAGACACTCAGCTGCTAACCTAAATGCT